GATAGATGGATGGATGGATAGATGGATGGATAGATGGATGGATGGATAGATAGATAGATAGATAGATAGATAGATAGATAGATAGATAGATAGATAGATAGATGGATGGATGGATGGATGGATGGATGGATGGATGGATGGATGGATGGATGGATGGATGGATGGATGGATGGATGGATGGATGGATAGATGGATAGATGGATGGATGGATGGATGGATGGATGGATGGATGGATGGATGGATAGATAGATGGATATGAGATGGTATGAAACTAGATGGATAGATGGATGGATAGATGGATGGATAGATATGAGATGGTATGAAACTAGATAGATGGATGGATAGATGGATAGATAGATAGATGGACGGATGGATGGACGGACGGACGGATGGATGGATGGATAGATAGATGGACGGATGGATAGATGGATGTGATAAATTACAATACAACACTTCTCATTATTATATGACGCAATATACGACTTTCACTGAACTCCTAACAGTTTCTTGAGGTTAGTGTTTACATTTAAATAGATGGAAGTTACTTTGTAGAATTACCACACATGATTTTGTTTAGATGGTCCCAAACATTTCTTTCACAGTTTCATTTTTTGTGAAATGGGTTCAAATTGACCTCTAGAAGCTTGTTAGCAGAACTTTGTGTAAAAGAGTTGAGCTGGTTCTGATCAGATGGAACAAAGGTCGTCAGGTGACACCTCGGATACTAAAGCTGTGTAAAACCTGAGGTGTACAAACTTAACTTTATGGATTTATGGTGTTAGGTGATCAACAAAATGCTCTGTTTACCCAGAGAGTTCACACAACTGTAACTCATATCACTGTAGCTCCGTGAATACTGTCTGCTAGTCTGTGAAAAGAACAATTAACTTGTTTTTCAAAAAATGAAATAAAGAGTCAGAAACAGAAGTAACTTTATTTTTTAATTTTCAGATACATTTTCTTTGACAACACCTCATCAACAAGTGTGTTGATGTTTTACATTTTTGAGCTTAGTTTTAGATTTATTCATGTTTTCACGTGTTTTTCAGGTTTGACGCCTGCAGGATGGACATGACCTGCGCTCGTAACTGGGCCAGAGACCCCAGAGGACAGAACTGTACTGGGACCTGTGTTCAGTATCAGCAGGTACGCTGTCATCTCACACATTACACATTTTTGCTTCTCTTGAGGGGTTTTTATCCACATAAATCACATATTTAGTGCGTTCATCATTTAAGCCAAGCATGGTTGTGTCTATCTGTCCACCATATTTTCAGTGGATTGTTGTTTCAGTTGGTGATGATTGTAGCCACTTGTAAAGATCCTGAACATTAATGATCACCTGCTGATGATGGCGATAAGTTAAATTTACAGATACGGACCTGTAGTTTTGAGGTGGTAGTAGCTGGGAGTCGTTCCTATCATATATTTTGAGCCATGACACGCCTCGAGAAATCTAGTAGAATCAAACGAGATTGCTCATAACATCATCTATAGAGTTTGACCAAAACGGGTATAATTTTGTTATTTTTCATCATAACATATTTAAAATTCTGACGTGATAGGCGATGGGCCATGTCTTCTGTTGAAGGTTGGACCTTTCATTTAACCAGTTGGGGTTAAAAGCCACCTCCCTTTCACTTCAGGAGAATGATTTTCAGTGGGTCTGATTCAGCATGTCAACATGCAGAATGTCAACAATGGTGTACCACAAGGCTCAGTCTTAGGACCCACCCTCTTCACAATCTACATAAGTAATGTAGGTCAGAACATCCCTGATGCATACTTACATTTCTATGCTGACGTCGAGCTAGAACAGTTGCAAAGGTTTTCCAGCTTTTACAATCTGCATTCGACATTATCCAGTCAGATTTGTTCCGTCTCAAACTGGTGCTAAATGCTGATAAAACCAAAGGGATGTTGTTTTCAAACAGGACGTCAGTACCAGCAGTCCTTCCTTCTATTTTACAAATGGTGTTCCTATTGAGTTGGTCAATTCTTTTAAATACTTGGATATCTTGTTGTTTTTATATTATTTATTTTATTTACTTTTCATTTTAATAATGATCTATTATTGTCTGTACCTCATCTGTGTTCTTTGTTTAAAACAGGTCTCTCTTGTAAATGAGTCCTTGAGGCTCCATGAGACCAGCCTGTAGAAATAAAGGTTGAATGAATGACTGCATGGCGGTGTGGCGGTGGCTGAGTGAGGGGTTAACAGCGCAGGGCGGCTCTTGTGGGCTGGAGCGTGAAAGAGTCTGGCCCTGCTTCGCTGAGCACGGGCCAGCTGGGTGATTTAAAAAAGAAGCGGAGGCTGGTGTGCAGCTGAGGCCGGCAGCAAACTAACACTCTCACATCACAACCCATAACGGTCTATCTGATGGCGTGTCTGTCTCTCTGCTTTCACTGCCCCTCTTAATCGCCTCTCTGCTTCCTCTCTTTGTCCCTCAAACTAACGAGCACATCCACCCACAGGCATCAGATTGAGTAAATATGGTTATTAGACGATGAGGAGAAAAGCAAAGGGTGAATATAACCTCTGCGTTTTGTTACAATTTCAGATTTTTTTCCCCCGGTAGAATCACCTAGCTCGTCAAGATTAACAGTCCTTAAAGGGACCAAAGTCTGGTCCTAAAAAGATGAATCATCATTTTAAGGATTAAGTATGAAGTAAGCTCATGTTAGGGTTAGACTACAGGAAGGAATAGGAGTCAATAAAATGTCCTAATAGGGAGAGAAATATGAACTTG